ACTTTGTTGCGCAGGCTGGAGTACAGTGGCATGCTCACAGCCACCACAGCCTTGACCTACTGAGGCAATCCTTCTGCCTCAGCCTTCCAAGTAGCTGGAACTACAGGCACACACTACCATGCCCAGCTAATTTTTTTATTTATTGTGGAGACGAGGTCTTGCTAAGTTACCCAGGCTGGTCTTGAACCCCTGGGCTCAGGTAATCCTCTTGCCTTGGCCTCCCAAAGTGCTGGGATTATGGTCTTGAGCCACTGCGTCCAGCCTGTTTTCTAATCCTATCATGAACATGTCCTGTATTCTTAGTGATTGGGTGCCCTTTCCATACATTTCTACATTTTTTCTTATACTTGAAACTTCCCTGATTTTTTAATGTCATCTATGTCTTTTAGTCCCTAGCTACTCCCACTTTTCTGGCTTCCATGCATTGCTGGTTCCTCTCCATTGTTTCAGTGTCCCCAACACTGACCCAAACATAATGTTTTGTGAAGTGTGTACATGTTTTTAAATAGTCCTTGCACACCAAGTGCTGTTTTCCTATTGCATTCTCCTGGGCCTGGACACCAGTCACTTGTGCAGCAAGCCTGTGTTATCAGTAGATGAGGTCCTGATGAAGGCTGTTGGCAGAGGAGTGAGTCAGTGACCCTGACTTTTGTCACTGAAATGCAACCCATCTTTGTGTCCTTTATCTCATAAGGCCTCCCTGAGAGGCCCTTTTGTCAAATTACCATCAATATTCACATCCTGAAAACATTCCCATGGACTCATTCTTTACTATGTCTGACATACATTTTTTATTGTGGCTGCTTCATCCCCTATATTGAACCCATACCTCTTTTTTCAGGTTGTTGGTATGGAGCAGAGACTGAGGAGGTATCTTCTGAATATAGTGTTTCTGTAGAAGGATTGTCACAAATCAGGACTCCAAAGGCAAGTCCATTTACCCAGAAGAATTACTGTGAGATCTATATCCCAGTCTTGAAAGACATTTTACACCTAGCTGAGCTGCAAGCCACATCCTCTGGACAGAAATCAAACTTGCCTGGGCTGTCAAGAGATTTTTGGTTGAGTACAAACCTTCACCAGGTCTAGAAGCATGATCATAGAGAAAAACTCTTTAAAATAGACAAGGACCAAGCTTCATTTGTGGCTAACTGCAGGTTCCATGTTTCAGGGAAACCCTTCACCTTTGCAGAGTTGAGAAGCAACTTTCCAGACATCTTAGGCCTTCTTCAGTATCAGGCTATTCTTAACAGTGAGAAGTCACACAGCAGCATGTGACACTGCAGTTCCCACTGGAAGAGAGCCTTACAAATGCATTGAATCTAGGAAATCTTTTAGCAAGAAATCTGTACTCATTCAACATCAAAAAGTTCATGCTGGAGAAACATCTTATGAATGCAGTGAATGTGGGAAATCTTTTAGCCGTCGTGGTAACCTCTATCATCACAGAAGATCCCACCCTGGAGTAAAGCCTTATGAGTGCAATTAATGTGGAAGGTCTTTCAGCCAAAGTTCTAGCTTACTTCAACATAGTAAAATGCATGCTAGACTGAGGACTTGTGATTGCGGTGATTGTGGGAAATCATTTAGTGGCAAAACTAAACTCATTCAACACCAAAGAGTTTACACTGGAGAAAGACCTTATGACTGCAGCGAATGTGACAAATCCTTTCGCCAGCTATCTGTTGTCATTCAACACCAAAGAGTTCACACTGGAGAAAAGCCTTATGAGTGCAGTGAATGTGGCAAGTTTTTTAGCCACCGTGATAACCTCTATCGTCACAGAAGAGCTCACACTAAAGCAAGGCCTTATGACTGCAAAGAATGTGGGAAATCATTTAGTTGCAATACCTACCTCATTCACCATCAAAGATTTCACACTGGAGAAAGACCTTATGTGTGCAGTGAATGTGGGAAATCATTTAGCTAGAAATCTGTCTTTCTTTAACACCAAAGAGTTCACACTGGAGAAAAGCCTTATGAGTGCAGTGAATGTGGAAAAGTGTTTAGCCACAACTCTGGCCTATTTCGACACAGGAGGGCTCATGCTAGAGTGAGACCTTATGAGTGCAGTGAATGTGGAAAATCATTTAGTTGCAAAACTGTTCTCATACGACACCAGACAGTTCATAATGGTGTCAGGCCTTATGAGTGCAATGAATGTGGAAAATACTTTATTCGCAAAATTCATCTAATGCGACACAAGACAGTTCACACTAATGAAAGACCCTATGTGTGCGGTGAATGTGGGAAATGCTTTAGGCAAAGCTCTGGCTTCCTTCAGCATTTGAGAGTTCACACTGGTGAAAGGCCATATATGTGCAGTGAATGTGGGAAATCCTTTAGACAAAGTTCTGCCCTTCAGCATCTGAGAGTTCATACTGGAGAAAGGCCTTATGAGTGCAGTGAATGTGGGAAATCCTATTGTCAGATATCTGTTTTCATTCGACATCAAAGTGTTCACTGTGAAGAAAGGCCTTATGACTGCAGTGAATGTGGCAAATCTTTTCGTCAGATATCAGTCCTCACTCGACATCAAAGAGTTCACACTGGAGAAAGGCCTTATGAATGCAGTGAATGTGGGAAATATTTTACCCACAAATACTCCCTTGTTCAACATGAAACAGTTCACACTGGAGAAAGGCCTTATGAATGTTAATGTGAGAAATCTTAGGCAAGCGTGGCCTCTTTCAACACAGGAGTGCTCTCATGCCATGAATGGTAAATTCTTTAGTCAGATTTAATACTGAAGGTTTCCATAGTACAGATGTGCAGCAAGTGTGCTTTTTCCTCACTCAGTATGGTGACACTGGAGGCTAGTCTTTGAGTTGACTTTCATATATCTGAACATCCATAGATTACCCTCAAGTTTGAGGTATTTGGAAAACATATGTAACTGTTATACTCTGTAAACCTGCCCATGGATCTTGCCTGATATAGGTTACTGCAAGTTTCCGTGGCCGAAGCCATTCATCTCTACTGCTTGGAAGATCCACAGAGTCTGTAGTCATCTCCGCAGCAAAGTGTTCAGGGAGATAGACTTCCCCTACTTGGAGGAAATCATGAGTATCTTGAGCTCTTACGGAGTTCTCATCCCCTCCTTTCTGGCAACTTAGTGCATGGACTTACATCCTGGGTAGGTTCTGGGACCTGATCTGAGTTCTGGTGGCTTGCAGGGTAGGACTACCTTTTTCAGGAACATTGTTGGTCTCAGTTGATGATATCAGTTGATACTTGTGAAGAAGTTTTCTCAGTTTCCAAGTCACCAAAGCAGGAGCTGCCTATTGCACATTGCACCAGTTTGTGCGATGGTGAAAGTTTTTTTGTTTATGTACCTTTAGTCTTGCAAGTTGCGTTTACTGTGGAGTGGTTTGAAAGCATAACGAGAGTTTTGCCTTGATCCTGGAGGCCTGTGGGCTTAGAAGTCATTCTGTGGACAAGGTAGTTGTGACAACTTCCAGTGCTTCTGGAAACAACATGAAGTTTTTTTGTTCATTGGAGATAACCCATAATGCTTTCCAGTGTTGAGAATTCCTTATTCAAGTTCTGCAAAACAGCTGTGTGTCCAAAGCCCAGAATTCAGTATTCTTGTGTCACTAACTGTACAACTACAGGGGTCCAGGGGAACAAAAATGGATATAGAAACATTGCATTGAATAATAGGGAATTGAAGAGACTCCAGAAAACTTGATGACTTGTTTTTGTTGCCATCATTTTTTTCTAAAGATACATCCACAAATATCCCAGTGATGACTGTGACTCTTCTGGATCAGTGTATATAAAAGTCTGTATCTTGTATAGCTCAAGACAGATAAAATAACCATTTTATGGATTCCTGTAGCTTCTTTGGCTGTGTAACCCACAGCAATTGCTACATGGACAAAGAAATAGAATGAGACCAGGCTTGGTGGCTCAACCTGTAATCCCAGCATTTTGGGATGCTGAGGCAGGTGGATTACCTGAGCCTGCAGGTTCAAGAGCAGCCCAGGCAACTTGGTAAGACCTCGTCTCTACAATATATTAAAAAAGGAAAAAAAAGCCAGGTGTGGTAACGCATGCCTGTTGTTTGGGCTACTTGGAAGGCTGAGGTGGAAAGATTGCTGGAGCCCAGCAGATTGATGCCTGGTTGGCTGTGAATGTGCTACTGCACGTTAGCCTGGGTGGCAGAGTGAGACTTCAACTCAAAAGAAAAAACAATAGAATGAAGAGAAGGGGGATCTAGTTGTCTGTGGATGTGGCTTTTGTGATCCGCCAGTAGTCCTCTTAACTCAAGTGGAAATGGCCTTTATTGCTTACTTGTATTACCTACCACTGAGGCAAGGCTGTCCCTATAAGGCATATGGAGTTAGATGGTGGAGACAACATTGACTTGCTAAATCTGGCTGGGCACAGTGGCTCATGCCTGTAATCCTAGCACTTTAGGAGACAGAGGCAAAAGGATTGCTTGAGTTCAACTGTTTAAGACTAACTTGGGCAACTTGGCAGAGACCTCATCTCTGTAATAGATTTTTAAAAATTGACCAGGCATGGTAGCACGTGTCTGTAGTTCCAGCTACCTGAAAGGCTGAGGCAGAAGGATCACCTGAGCCCAGCAGGTAGAGGTTGTGGTGGCCATGATCGTACACTCCAGCCTGGGCAACAAAGTGATACTCTGACTCAAAAATAAATAAATAAATAAATTTACTAACCCTGATTTTCTGAAGACTGAGTGATATAGATTGAGTCGTTAAAAATATTATCAAGCTGTGTTTGACCTGGAATAAATTTTACATGTTTAAAATGTACAATTTGTTAAGTTTTGGCATAAGGTAAGCCTATGGGAACACTTTTGTAATCATAATAATGAGGATATGTCACCCACATATTTTTATTGTTCCCTTTTATAATCCATCCCTTACCCTGCAGGCAACCTTTGATTTACTTTCCTTTACAACCCGTTGGTTTGCATTTTTTAGAGTTTTATTATAGGAATGATAAAGTGTTTCTTCTTATTTTTTCCTAGCTTATTTATACATAATAATTAGAGATTCATAAACAATGCTTACGTGAATAGTTCATTCTTATTTCTGAGTAGCATTCTGTTCTATGGTTATACAACTCTCTGTTTATCATTCACCTGTTTAATGACATTTGGGTTACTTTCAGTGTTATGCTTTTGAAATAAAGCTGCTACAGACATTTGTGTACAATTCTATGGATTTTTTTTTTTGTATTAGTGATTCAGAATGCAATGCCTAAATCATGGAGTAGTCGAGTATTCAAGTGTCGGAAAAACTTCCATACTGAACTAAAATTTTGTGTGTGCGTTTTGAGATTTTTGCATTTTCACCAGGAGCTATGAAAGTTCCAATATCTTTGCACCTTCACCAATACTTGGCATAATTAATTTGTAATGTTCTGTTTTTAAATAAGTGTGTTATGCTATCTCACAGTGGCTTTAATTGCATTTCCCTAAAGAATCACCATGTTAACCCACTTAAAAATTTTTTTTTAATTTGCTACCCTCATATCTCTTTTTTTTCCCATTTTATCAGATAGAATTGAGATCCAACCGTATTTTATTAACCAGTAAGCTTATACATAAAGATTACTAACCCAACACCAAACATAACAAAATTGCTTGAGACTAAACTGATACAGGACTAAAATTATTTTTATGACTTTGCTTTAAACACATTGTTAATTCTTTTCATATTCTGTATTCAAAGGTCAAAGGTTTTCCTTTTAAACTATATATGTCCAAGAAAATAATAATTAAAATTCATTTATATAATTATTACCAAATCTACCCTTACATCTCATTCCAGCATTGACCTGCTGGGCTCCGGCGATCCGCCTCAGCCTTCCAAGTAGCCAGAACTACAGGTGCACATTACCACGCCTAGCTAATTTTTGGTGTATTGTAGAGATGAGGTCTTGCCAAGTTGCCCAGGCTGGTCTTGAACCAGTGGGCTCGGGCAATCCACTCACCTCGACCTCCCAAAGTGCTTGAATTACAGGCTAAGCCACCAAGCCTAGCTTACTTTTGTTTTTCAATACTGGAAACATATTTCCTAATTTTTCTTTGATTCTTTTGTGGTGTGCACAACTTAATGACCACCTTTAGTATTTATGTTTATTCAGCATTATTAACATTTTGCATCACTTTTTTTCCCCTCAAGTTTTTTAGTTTAGTTTTGTTTTTTGAGTTGGGAGTCTCACTGTGTCACCCATGTTGGAGTACAGTGGCACACTCATGGCCACCACAGCCTTATCCTGCTGGGCTCAGGCGATCTTTTCACTACAGCCTTCCAAGTAGCTAGAACTATAGGTGTGTGCTACCACGCCTAACTAATTTTTTGATTTATTGTAGAGATGAGGCCTCACCAGGTTGCCGAGGCTGGTCCCAAACTCATGGACTTAGGCAATTCTCTCACCTTCACCTCCCAAAGTGCTGGGATAAAAGGCGTGAGCTATTGCACCCAGCATACATCACTTTTTTAATTGTATTTTTTTTATAGACGGTGTCATCTTTTCACCCAGGCTGAAGTGCAGTGCTTTGATCATAGCTCACTGAAGCCTTGAACTCCTGGGCTCAAATGATCCTCTTGCCTCAGCCTCCTGAGTAGCTGGGACTACAGGGATGTGCCACTGCACCTGGCTAATTGTTTTTTGGTGTTTTTTTTGTAGAGATGGGGTTTTGCTATGTTGCCCAGGCTAGTCTTGAACTTCTGGGCTACCCTCCCACCTCAACCTCCCAAAGTGCTGGCCTTAAGTGTAGATTTTTTTTTTTTAAGTCTCACTCTGTTGCCCAGGCTGGAGTGCAGTGGCACACTGCTCATGGCCACCACAGCCTCGACCTGCTGGGCTCAGGCAATCATCTTTCTGCCTCAACCTTCCAAGTAGCCAAAACTATAGGCACACACCACTACACCTGGCTGATTTGTTTTTTTTTAATTTACTTACTGTATAAATGTCTTGCCAAATTGCCAAGGCTAGTCTTGAGCCCCTGGGCTCAGGCAATCCTCTTGCCTTTGCCTCCCAATGTGCTGAAATTACAAGCATGAGCCACTCCCCGGCCTAGATATTTAACAATAGCAGAAATGCAGCCGGGGTTTGTAGTATTTGTCAATTTGGGGAATAATTGCTTCTTTCTTTTTGTAGAGGAGGAAAAAAGTAAACATTTTGAAATACATCAGTACATTTTGGTTTTTTCCCCAAGCTCTGCCATCAGAAGAATGTAGTTAATCAGAATCTACTGGTGTTCTGTCAGAGACTGAGTTGGAGAAAGAGACGTGCCCATCTGCAGCCATCTCTAGCTTTCTACATGAGAGGAGGTAATTGCTCAACTCCAGCTCACTTTATCCTTCCATGTGGGAGAAGGAAAATACTCAACTTTAACCCACTCCAGCCATCTAGTCTTATCTAAGGGGGAGAAAAATCTAAAATCTGAGAAACACTATAGTTCGTGGTCCAGAGGCATAGTTTCACTAAAAGTTTGAGATCTTATCATGGGACTATAGACATCTTTCCCTCTTCCCACACTTTTCTACCACATTTCCAAAGGGCTATTTTCTGCAGTTACTTTTACCCAGTACATCATGTCTTGCTATCAAGAAAAAATTACAAGGCATTCTTAAAGTAAGAAACATAGTATGAAGGAAGAGACAAAGAA